TCAGTACAGAGATGAGGGGCTCGTTGGGGGCGGGGTACAGGACTTTATTCCTTTACAGTGGCTCCCACAGTTAAAAGAATCATTGCAGTAGTTTAACAATAAGGAGAGCAGTTAATGACACTGAACATTTTAGAAACGAAATTTGTCACAATCAGCTTGAAGCCCTTGTGCTTGACTGTGCTACTGGGATTTCTAGTAGCTGGAGGGAAGCTCCACTATTTTGGGCAAGGATAAGGAGGGGGTCCTGTACTATGTGTAGTTACACTTGCCTAATTACCCCAGTTTTGCACTGGCCATGTTCTGATGCAGTGTTGAAATTCTATAGTTGTAGCTTGCACTGATATGGCATGGTTGCTGATAGCATTATGCTGTTGCACAGGCACTTCTTCCAGATTGGGAAGATCAGATAGGATTCACATGCTGTGTGGACAGGGCCAGGCTCTAGATGTAATTGGGCTGGAACGCCAGTACTTTTTCCTTCTGATCTCTAAGTCCCGAAAACAATAATGGCCGAGGTTTGCAACACCTGCCACTGAAGCCCCCCCCCCCCCAGCTCTTCAAGCCAAAATTGAAAAACTGAAGTTGAAATATCAATGACACTCTGTGGAGCAGTGAAGGAAACCCTAAGATTTGGCTTTTGTACTGTGTCTTGTTGCTAACCAAAGCAGCATACAAAATCATTTGTCGGCTTATTTTTAAAAAGTGCCTTGTTTATTCATCAGCAACTGTGTGCTGTCCTTGTTCATGGAGCAGACTCCCGACTTAATTACACGCCAGCCAACAGCTGATTCTTCCTCAGAAGGAAGCGTTGCCTAATAAAGATCATAGATGCCAACGCTAAAGAGACAAAGCACTAAAGATGAGCAGCTCAATCGTCAACTGTCTGATGTTCTAAGTACAGCCAGTGAAGTACAAATTTGGGGTGGGACTCTGCTCTTCCCATCTGCAAGTCAGTCGCTGTTCCTTAGCAGTTATATGGTGAGGTGTTGATATGTAGCATGACTCTTTGTGCCCTTAGGAGCAAAACACTAGCTTTTCTATTTGCTGTAATCAATCAGTTTCTCTAAAGCATTTCTTTGTACTAATCAAGGGACATAGAAGCTGAGTAGTTTAATTTTCCAGAGATTACAAACATATTAAGAGTACAGAAGCAGCATTATTGAGTCTTTAAAGGCATTCCAAGATATTACTCCATCTGGGTGTTACTGGCTGATAGATGCTTATTATGGGATTAAAAATGGGTCTGATTTAAATATCTTCGAAATGAAGTGGTGCTAGTAAATATTTGATTTTACCAGTCAATGTTAATTAAACAATTATGATACTGTAAAAGTTAAAAAGGGGTACTTTATTCAGTTGGCTCTGTATCAGAAATTCTCACTCCAAATGATGAGTCTTATATATATAATTCCCTTATGTACTGGCCATTTCCAGCTCTCCCATTGGCTGTGCAGTGTGCTCCATCAGCCATTGGCTCATCAAATGCCACTCAAGAGTACTTGCATGCCATTGGCTGGGGGCTGGGTCCACTCCTCTCCCCTGCCCACTGCCAGCCCTGGACAGTCTTCTCTCACAGAATAAACTGCCAAAATGGCTGTCTCTCATGACGAAGATACTTCTGCTTGGCTCCTGTGGGACTAACTTTTCCCTCAGTGGCTGTTGCTAGGCAACCATGCTTGGTTCTGTCAGTAAAAAGGCAAACACAGGAGGCCTTTGTGGAAAACTCATTAGGGCCTTTGTGGGGAACTCATTGGGACCAGTCCTGACTAGGATTGCCAGCTCCAGGTTGGGAAATTCCTGGATATTCTGTGGTGGAGTCTACAGAAGCCAGAGTTTGGGGAGGGGGGAGGCCTCAGCTGAATAGAATGCCATAGAGCCCACCCTTCAAAGCAGTTATTTTCTCCAGGGGGGAGAGATCTGTTGTCTGGAGTTTAGTTGTGATACCCGGCGATCTTCAGGCTCCAACTGGAGGTTGGCTACCCTAGGCATAGCAGTTAGCGCTTCAGAGCAGGGTCTGCCAGACCCAGGTTCTTGCTGTGGAAGGTGACTGGGTGATTTCGTACCAGTCACAGACTTTCAGCCTAACCTACCTCACTTTCAGCCTAACTTCCTCAAAAGGTGGACAGGAGAATGATGTAAGCTGCTTTGGTCTCTACATAATATAGCTGTGTTTGCCTTAAGATCGCTAATATCCTTGTGGAGACTGCAGTTCTTCTGGAATTTCAACTGATCTCAAGACTACAAAGATCAGTTCTCCTGGAGGAAATGGCAGTGTCAGAGGGCAGACTCAATGGCATCACTTCTGTGCTGAATCTCCTCTCCTTGGCAAACTCCACCTTCCCCAGGCACTACCCCCAAATATCTGGGAATTTCTCGAGCTGGCAACCCTAGTTCCCATGAAATATTGCAAATTACTTGGAATTCAGTGGTAGATCTGTGTTTCTGGTTGGAGGCAAATTCATTTTTCTAAAAAAATCTCAGTGATGTTCCCCATTATACCAGGCAATTTAAAGCTTTCTCCAGAGGTCTCTGGGCTCTGTGCACAGCGCAGTCAAAATATCTGCAGAGTATGTATCATTTTCTTCCTGCTACCCTCTTGTACTCATCTAGTGGCCTTGGGGGGGGGGCGTGACCTGAGAGGAGCCATGTGGTAGTGGAAAGTGCCATCAAGTTGCAGCTGACTTATGGTGACAGTATAGGGTTTTCAAGGCAAGAGATGAAAAGAGGTGGTTTGCCATTTCCTGCCTCTGCATAGCAATCCTGGGCTTCCTTGGTGGTCTCCCAGCCCCGCTTAGCTTCTGAGATCTGATTAGATTGGTCTAGCCTGGGCTATCCAGGTCAGGACAAGAGCCCTGTAGCCTGGCCTGATTATAAGGCCATCCGTGCTACTAACAGTCTTGCTGCTAGCTGTGGCTTAGAAAATGTGAATACTGCGTAAGGACCTCTTCACCTTTGTAGAATCTGTGGAAATATAGTGGGAGTCAGAGAGCCCAGTCCACTGTGGTTCACTGAAGTTCAATGCATTCTGGAACTAGAAGCCTATAAGCAGGTTTAGAACAGCACAGCCTGTTAGGAGAAACTTGAACTCTGGTATATGGTTTTGGGTGGAATCCACTTCGCCCCCCCCCCCTCAATTTTTCATCTATGGAAATATCTTGGGTGTGTTCCCCTCTCCCCATCTCACCATATCTTTGTCACAATTTTTTTAGAAATGCCTCCTTTATCTGCTCAGTTGTTAGTGACTAATTGAGAGAAGACCTTATTTAATAACAAAGGAACTAATGTATAACTATTTGAGACCTTTTAACCTTTATGTTGGTTACTCTGAGTATTCATGCTCAGCTGAGAGTATGATATTGATTTTTCACTTGGAATTCTAACTTTTTCCTAATTGATGAGTTCCGGTCAAGATTTATGTTATGGCTGTAATGTGCTCTTCACATTCTCTTAAGTGAATTGCTCTACAGATTTTTTTTGTACCTTGTATTAGCTCAGCTGCTTCATTATTCTGGAGGAGAGAACTTTATGGGCCCATATCTTGTGATGCATATGCGAGGCAGTAGTAACAGTCTCTGTTTATGTGTATCCTGGCTTGCTTGTCTTGTCAGATGTGAAAATCTGAATTAGAATTTCATCTTTATCCTTAGAATTTTTTCTTCTGTTTGTCAACAGATAAATTTGCTCTTTTCTAAAGCATAATAGTTCTGCAGATGCTCCAGTGTTTGACCATTTGTTACTGAGCTCAGTTTAAGGTATTGGCTATCACATACAAAAGCCTTCATGGCCTCGGCCTCTCTTATTTGTGGGAGGGGGGTGGGTGGGTTGGCCAAACTTGCTCAGTGTAAGAGCCACATAGAATAAACATCAGATGTTTGAGAGCTGCAAGATACGAACAAATATTACACATTTTTATTTAAAAATGTGCACATTTGCTTTTATTAACATTAAATGAGACTGCCAAAATAAAAACAAAAGAGATAAAAACAGATATTGATTATGATATTTATTAAGTCCAATTATATCTATTTGTTTGCTAATGATATTTGTCTGAGAGAGAGAGGTGAAAAGAAGAAAAGAGGTGGCAAGAGAAACAAAGAAAGCAAGTGGGTGGATGGATGGAAGGAAGGAAGGAAGGAAGGAAGGAAGGAAGGAAGGAAAAGCATGGGTCCCCTTCACTTTCCCAGCTGCCCTCCTGGGAACTGCACAATATGTGTGTGCTGCAGTTTGGCCACCCCTGGACTAGATGGTCTGTATGGCCCCTTCCAACTCTATGATTCTATGACTGCCTCTCCCTGTGCTCTGTCACAACAACTTTGCTCAAGTCAGCAGGAGCTTCTGCAGGTGCCAGACTCCAAACGGGCAAAATCAACAACTGTCCATGTCTTCTCTGTTCTGGTTCTTGCCTTGAGGAATGGCCTGCCAAAGGAGGTCAGGAAAGCTCCTAGTCTCCTGGCCTTCTGCAAACTATGCTACTCAGGGTGGCTTTTCCACAGCAATAATAGGGTAGCACTGTACAAAATGGTTCACAAACTTACTTGGATGAATGATTGGGACTCCAGTCTATACTGCTATGTATAGCTTATTGTAAGTAGGGTCTTATTTATGTAATTTCTGTACCACTGCTTTAATGTGCCATGTTAGTACTTATTCTTTGCTTTAGTTCATTCTGGTGTTTCCAGACGTCTGAAATCCTAATGCACTGGTTATTGAATGTCCCATTTTGTGGATTGTTCTGACTCTGACTCACTCTTATGTAATCTGCCTTGAGTCTCTGTGAGAAAGGCAGACTATAATGTTAAATAAATAAATATATGCATGATGTAGATGTTAGATCTTAAAGTTGGATAGGAAAATTAATGCAGTTACATAAAACATACACATTTAATGCTGTTATTAATTTATAGAACCATGATGAGTATAACCTGCCAGAGTTATATTTTGGAACCTCTTCCTTTTCATTGAATTGGACTAGATTAAACAAATAGTTATCTCTTCCAAAGCAGGTGGTGGAGAATAATGGAGAAGAAAGTGAGCAGAATCTGTCCTGTTTCAGACCCAAGCACAACATATTTTCTGCAGATAACTTGGGAAAAAGATCTAGGAGTTGGCTTTGATGTCATTCTCACTGATGGTCAGCTGGCTTGGGCCGGGAGAGGTGAGATATAATAAATTACAGTTTTATATATATGTGAAGCTACTTCCTCAAATGCATAGCATAGTTCTAAATGTTCCACTAGGCAGAATACGATAGGAACCTTTGAAGGTATTGAGTATTTTGGGCTAGTTTACCCCTCCAGAGTATTACATCCTGGATAAAGTCATGTGCATCTGTTAGCTCAGGTGTGCTGTATAGTGTAATGCCTGCCTTTCACATGCCAACACCTTTCATATTATGCAGCCTTCTATCCAGTGGTGCTGTTTGTTATGTTCATAGAGAATTGCTGGAAGAATCAGAGTGAAGTTTTAATCACTGTGTAACCTAAATCTAGTAAGGCAAGCTACTTATAGTGGCAGTGCAAAGATGTAGCAGTGAAAACGTAAAAGAGCCGTGTCTCTACACACTTATGTGGTAATAGCTCCCTAGCATTTATCACCATAGGCACAATGTGTTTTTATTAAAGTATAGCCTTTTAAAAGAGGCAGTAAAACTTATGTCTGTAAAGTAAAAGGTAGGTTTTTATCTGCAAATAAGTCAGATGTTCCTTGTCATCTGCCTCCCAACAGTGTGACATAGTTGGGTAGGGTTGCTGGCTGCAGTCTAGTATAGTAAATCTTGGTCACTGCACTCCTTTGTGTGCGTGTGTAGATACATAAGGCTGGTCAATTTGTTATATGAGAGATATATATCCTCATTATATATAACTAGGCAAAAGGCCCATTGTGGAAATAAATACAACGGCCTCTAGAAAGAGGCTCTGGGCGGGTGCCCCGGCCTTGGACACTCAGTGTCAATTTGCTGTGGTGACCTCAGCAGGGTATAATGACACTGAGTCCACCATTTTCTCTAGAGGAACTGATCTCTGCTACCTAAATAGACTTGCCAAGTCCCCCCGGGGGGCGGGGAACCCCCCGCCACAGAGGCCCGTTTCCCGCCGCCGGCGGACCAGGCCCCGGGGGGAACTCCACCCCGACGTGCACGTCACCCAGAAGTGACGCGAGCACGCCGGGCACGCTGGGGGCGGGGCCACGGTCATCCGAAGGAAAACTCTATGGTTTTCCCTCGGATGGT